TCTCTCTCTCTCTCTCTCTCTCTCTCTCTCTCTCTCTCTCTCTCTCTTCACGATGAGTTTTGATGAATGGCCAGAAACAGAACCGAGAAGCACACAATTAAAATGGCCAGACACGATTTGATCTACAAACTATTTTTGCGTACACCAATTGGTGTGGTGAGTCGCACATTATAAACACACGCACAACAAACACACTTCCACACACACTTACTCACCGAATTTACTATTTTAAGTATTTATAACAAATTTTATTTTGATAAACACTCATTTTTCGTTCGACGTGCCAAACGACCCGTTCAAGCAGTAAAATAATGAGCAAAAAACAACGACTCACAATTTTAAATGGCTTACGTTTTAAATGAATGAACCGACGACGCACAGCTATCACACGCCTGTGTGTATTTTGCATTCGTGAGAAGCATTCAAACGACAGCTAATTATAATCTCTTCCCAATTATTGCCACCGAAATGTACGGCGAATGAAAGCCAAAAATCTTAAGGCTTCCGAAATTCCTAGCTCAATGTATTTCGTTTTCAGTATGAGTACGGTGATGTTTCGCTTACATTTATTTCAGTTGATCGATCAACAGAAATGCTTCCTTTTTACATATGTGCTCATCACTTATGGCTCCATGTACCGCTTTATGTTTTCCATAATTCAAAGCATATTGCAACATCATAACGGGGCTGTCAACAGCATCAGTGACACAGTGAGCATGAGCATTCCAGTCAGGCACATTCATACCGAGGGCCATTTCAATTATTTCCGGCTTTAAATTGCACTAGCCTCTAACATATCCTAGTAATTTGTGTCATTCGCAATGAAGTTAAACCATAAAAGTCGTGCTAATACGTAAATTTCTTCTTGTTGGTTGGCTCTTGATTAAAGTTTGCCGTCGCGTCTGTACTATATCGGCAATGTTGTGCGCGCCATACAGTTTTGTGCATGGTTCGTTTTACTGTTTTAGTGGTTGACTTGCGATTCATCAAAGCATAAAAATTATTCGCCCTTTTTTTGTTGGTTCGATGGCGCTCCAACAGTTTTACTTGAGCTATTTTGTTTATTTACATATGTGTCAAACAATTCGATGGAAGAAATATAACGAAACATTCCGGACACATAAATACAGCCTCAAGCAGGCCAACTAATTCGAAAACAGAACAAGAACAGAAAACTCCAATCGTGATAGACATAAATCGTTGGCTTTTACATACCAAAACTATGTCTCTTTTCGACCACGCCATATTCATTACTTGCTCATGGTTGGACACGAAATGAAATAAAAATGCGCACAAACACAATCGCTCGCTCTCACTCTTTGTTTGATTGCTGTTGATTTTTACGATGAACTTTAGGCCATATTTCATGTATCTATCGTGTGTGTGTGCGCCATGTATACATATTTCTATACGTCTAGCTAAAATAATTTTCTATTTTCATCATAAAACATACACGCCACTGTACTGAAGATAGGCACATTCTTTATTGGCACATAAAATGGATTTCTTCGCCAAAATTCACACAACACCACCGCGCACACAAATAGATATGAGAAATATGAAGAGTGCCCAAGAACAAATGGGATCGGGTTAAAACAATAGCATCAAATGCAACCAATGCCAAAATCAAGCATAAACAAAAATATCACTCATAACTCAAAAAGAAATTTCCAGTGGCAAGGTGACTCGCTGTATAAAACCTCCCCGAAGACGAGGAGAATGCGGCCAGCCTTACAAAGTTGAACCGATGGGTTTTCGTCGCGTGCGCTGGACCAAATGATAAATAGCGGCTGTTTGGACAATGCAATCGACACAATCGCACATGTGTAAAACGAGTTGATGAAATTTATGTGGAAAATGTTTCATAATCGGATCAAACTTGCACCGAATATTGTTGTTATAATCATTGAAAGCAAAACCATCATAAAATTCACATGGTTGAACTCACACATTTTTAATTTTTGTTTTCCTTGCGTTCAACAATATTTCTTGCACAAGATCTCTCTGTTACACGCTCTTTGTTTCTCTCACTCTCACACTCTCAGTCGCTCTCTTTGCCCGTGGTTCAATTTGGGGTTGGTTTTTCCGCACACGAATCAACTTGCTGTGACAAAAACAATGAACAGAGAACCACTCAACACAACTGAAATAGAACAAATGCATGCAGCATATCACCGAACAACCGAGAGAAAAGGAGCAGAAACAAAAAAGAGAGGAAAAAAATCAGTACAGCGAACCAAACGGAATAACGAAAACACGAAACGAACCAAAAAAGCAACAAAGAGAAAGAGAGGGAGCGAGAGAGAGAGAGAGAGAGAGGAAAAAAA